CTTTTTGTTGCACGAAACCCTTGAACACGTCCCTGTCATCTATTTCTTCTGTTTCGGAATTTCGCTATTTTGCATTTCTTTCATTTTGACGTCATTCGCATTGTCAGATGTTTGAAATTCGTTTTGGTTCGACATTCTGCTATTTCATAATTATTTTATTCTCATGTCATCCATCTTCCATTTCTTACCTTCCATTGCCGTTCGCCTCGTCGAACGTGCCTGTCAAACACTGCCGCCATCATGCTTTTCAATTTGGCAGGCACGTCCGCTGTTAGAAAGAGAATATACAAAAAGGGGCATAGGATTCCATACTTGGAAGTATATACGATGCTTCAAACCGTCATTTTCATTGTTATTAAAAATTTTCTGCGCCAATACGTTTGGACGTCACACTATGTGGATTATATTTATTTTATATTTAAATACAAGAAATTAGTTCCTTTGTTTTCTGAATATTATAGATATTTGTCCAATAAATGAATTGAAAAACTACAATTTTTTACTGAAATCTACCTCTGTTTATTATTGACTCTGCCACATGAAAACAAATAAACCGGTGATACACTTGACCAAAATAAGTCCAGTCGCGTTCGTTGCATTGCGCGACGGCCTTCGCGTAAAAATAACGGTTTTCCACGTTGCGATCCATTTTTTTCTCAACGGAATATTTTAGAGAGCAAAATTTGGTATATATGGTTTTTTTTCTGCGTGAAAAAGAGGTGGAGAAGACTATTATTTTTATATTTTTACCAATAATTTTATAAACATTTACCCTTCAAAATTAGTTTTGAATAAATAAAACCTATGTTCTTGAAGAGTTTTTAATAACAATGAAAATGACGGTTGAATTGTCAAAATCGGTCATTAGATCGTCTGTAGTTGAGTTTTGAAGTAAAAAGCACAAAAAAACACTTGTCGATATATAAGAAAAAAAATTTTCTTTGTAAAATCAAAGATAGACATTTGTTTGCATTGTCAATAGCTCTGAAAAAAATACCAGTGCTGATTGCAAGTAAAATATCACATAGTTGAATTGGCCCGTTTCAGAAATTCTGAGTCATACACATATGTATGTCTGTATGTATGTATGCATACATTGTATATTGTTGACAAACGCTCGTTTATGTGCTTAAACCGTCCTTATTTGCATTAATTCATGCATTATCCTCTTTCAAATGTGAATAAACGGCTGAACAAATGCATAAAAATTTCGTGCATTTGTTCGGGCATCGAGATATAGGTAATTTTGTGTACATATTTTTTCATAAAAGCTATGAAGGTCTCCACTATAAGAGTGGTATTTTGAAAATTAGAGAGTTCCACCCTTAAGCTAAGTAATACTTGTTTCACCCCGTAATCGATGGAACCATTTTCCAAAGTCAGTCCACCTTTATCTATTCAAAGTTGTGTTCGGAACACGGTATGACTTATGTATGAACTGCATCCGGTTATAATCGCTTACGCTTCACGCCTGATTTGCTTTTCTCGTTATTTTACATGATCCAACTACACAAGATCTGACAAGATGAAGCAAAAGAAAAAAGTAATTTCCTAGCTGAAGTTTGTAATTTCGGCGCCATGTTATTTTCTTTGAAACGTAAACAAAGAATATGAAGACGGAAGCATAAAATAAAATGCAAGCAATTTTGTAGCACATGTTTGTGCTAACGAATTATTATTTTTGTACTTATTTTTGCAACCAATCACCGCGCACTTCATTTTAATTACATTTGCACAAAAAATTTATTGAAAATCGCTTAAAAATCACTGAAACAAACCATCGACAAAATGCAGCAAAACAGAAATAGCAAACTTCAAAATTACGAACGTCACACACCTTTTTCTCAATTGCTATTACAAACGGCTGCTTCTCAAGCGGTCAGATCTGTTCTAATTGGTTCATGGTTATTTTATTTTATGTGACTTGAAAATATTTTTCACTATAAGAAAATACTGAAATTCAAACAAATTGTCAAATAAGCATATTTAAATTTTTTGTTTTGTCTATCTGGATTACTGTATACTGTGGATTAAACTTTAATTTTAAATAAATGTTTAAAATTTCCGACCAATAATTTATTAATAAATTCGGTTTACACTATGCACTTTTCTATAAATTTCGATGTGGGTTCTGTGCAAAAATACTGTGGATGGCGTAGCCGGAGTTATATGCACAAGAAATGTTGTATTCCTTTGACATGCGGAAGCCCTTCTTCTCCGGTAACACAGAAAGGAGAATTATACTTAGTAAGGGTCATAATCCCTAAGCGCGTCCGAATTCAATCAGAAGCTGACATAGATGCGTCCCTGATTACTATGCCCGACACCTCCACATATCTTTGTGAATTCATTTCTATAGCGCGCTCTTACTCTGCTGCTATAATTGCAAATGCGATAGAATCCATAGTTTCTCTCAAAATATGTAAAATAAAACATTTTTACCATAAATAAGCACTTAATGAATGTTTTTATAATTCCTTTCCACTTTGTTTTCCTTCATACAGCTGTCTTCGAAAAACAAGTGATAGCTGGAACGATAGCTGTTACGAATTACGAAAATTCGGGTTCTAGAGTAGGGGTGTTAATTTTTTGTGTACTTTTTTAGCACTTAAAGTCGAATTTTTGAGGCGCACTAGAAATCACAACAGTGATGAGCTAAGCTTTGTGACTCTTTTAGAATAGAGCGGTAAGTCAAAATATTGTGTGATAGTTCTGGTATATTTTTGGATTAGGCAAGAGTAAAGGCAAGTTAAACTAATTCTAACAAATCTTCTTGCCACGTAGCAAGGTTTGCTTCCCTTAAAAATAAAGTATATTTTGCGTCGGGCGAGTCAATAAAATATGTGCAGATTATATGTACAATAAAAAATTAAGAACCTAACCGAGGCTCGAAAAAGAATTTGTTAGAATCGGAGGAATTGTTTTCTTTTCTCGTGATTTAAGTGACGTGAAAGTCGGTTAATTGCGGATGGAAACCTAGTGAATATGCATCCAAGGAAATATTGCTTTTGTTAAAAGAAAACAAAGTAGAAAATAGGTGGTTATAAATAAAAAAGCAAAATGTTCGTTCCTAATCCCTGCTTAATTGAAGAGATTACATTTAAATTTAAAGAGTTCGTTTTGGCGCATCGGCTTACGACTATAGTGGAATGAGCCAACGTTTCCTGCTTTAGATACAACTTTTTTCTTAAAGTGGAAACTACATTGAAAATTCTCTTAAAGTGGAAGAACCTAAATAGTAACTGTCAAAAATTAGAATAAGTGTAGATATCGAATTTCTCACTTCACAAATTGGAGTTTGATCAAATATTTTTGCCGCTGATTAATTTCCTTATCACATTTCAAGTTTTTAATGTCGTCCTTTTTTATTTATTATAGTAAGTTATAGTTAGTTTAAATGTTGAATATATGGAATAGTAGCTTATGTCGAAAGGCTGGCTTTAGCATACGATTGCGAATGACTCACTGGCGCCGAGCCGTTGAAGAACTTTTGGCAAGTAAACGTACATGAAATAATTCTAGTATCGGAATATTCAATATTCTTATTAAGTCTCATCAAAAAATTCCTTGTCGTTTAAAGAATAATTCTGCATTATACTAAAGCCAGCTTCCCGGCATAAGCTACTATTCCATACGAACACAAATATATACACATGTATGTTTTTTTTTCAATTATTTAAACATAGTGAAATAAAAAAAACAAATAAAACCTGCACTGTCTTAAAGCGAATAGATATTGAACGAGTTTTTAAAACAGCTATTTCAATGCACACAAATGTGCGTGGTATTTTTTATGCGAGAAAATTATTAGTGAAATTAACAGGTTTCACTTAAAAATCCTTTAGAAAAGAGGTGTTGCTTTAAAATGTCGCGAAATTCTAAACAAAATACAAAAAAAAGAAAAGGTATTCCAGTTGTAGTCGAGCTACACAGTGCACAATCAAATATTTTATATTGCTCAAACAGGTGATGAAGAAATAGTCGCTCAAACTTTCGCATAGAACATGAAACTCTTTCATTAAAATTAACACTCCCACTTTTATTTAAACTCGAATGCACGCTCCCTTAAACCGGGGATAAAACCATGATAAAAATAAAGTAAGGTAGAACCGTCATCTCAATTCGTCGGCCATGATTTTTTATGAACTTTAAATCATAACTTGAGAATAAAAAGTTTAATTTATCAAAATTGTTGTTTTTATGAGATTGACAATGAAAATGTTTTGTTTGAGTTTTAAATTTTAGAATTGTATTGTTTGTAAACGCAAAGAATGCTAAAAGTGCCTTTCAGCGGTTCTGCCTATTTCTAATTTTATCATGGATACAACCACCAAAACACCGACATTTATTTTTATCATGAAAAATAGGTATGAAATACACTTTCCAATTTGGTTTTCCACTTTTCAGATTTAAGTAATTATCCTACAAAATTGTAAAAATAAAGATTTTTTAATAAAAACCAATTTACGCTTTTCAAACTCAGTTCCAGAGTTTATGACAAGCCTACAATGAATGCAGCCTTTATTGAATATTTAGAAAAAAAATTATGAACAAATCAATTTTATACAAAAGGTAATCATGACAAATCGCCTTCGCCAGTACGTATTGGGCTTATTAAACGTACCCAGTCGGAAATTGTAATGTATAGTAATCGAAAAAATAATTAGTAAAACAACCCTTTTCACATTCGAAAATGCATTTTTTCCCCAGGACGATGTCCTAAGAAAATTTTGGCATTCAATTTTGCATTACCTAGTATAGAGAAATTAATGTGTTTTAATATGCATTTTTGTAACTTTTTGAATACATTGGAATTTTGATTACATAGTTAGCAGTAATATTATCAAGAACTCATATTATATTTTTTATCACGGATCTAATGCATTACTACTTTTCCGACTGGGTATGTATGTATGTAAATACTAGCGTTGCGGGCCTAATATGCATTCAATTGAAATGAGCTTAGATTTAGTTTAACCTATTCAATAAATCTACTGCTTAAATTGAGTAGCTTAAAAAATATCAAAATTATAATGGATACAAAATGTAAGTTGTGTGCAATTTTTAGCTTATTTCACTGCCTATAGATGTTTTCAGACTTTGTAATGGTTGTTCATTTGTGGTAAATACATTTGTTTATGTTTCCAAAACAATGTTTGAATCTTCATTTAAGAAGTCAGTTTATAGCATTTTTAAGTTTTTCTACTTAAAACGACACACGGCATAATAGTCGAATTTCAGGAATTCGATTTCCAACTGTTTGAATTTAAAGAGCGAGTTCAATTTTAAATGAGAGAAAGGATTAAAACTGTCTAGTCATGCACTGCGTCGACCGAGCATTGAAGATTAAGCTCAGTGTCTATAAGTGATTTTTAATGCTATAGCATTCGTCTGCTAATCTCTGCGCGAACTAGATCGCGATGGTGATGAATCGCCACGCCGACTACGCTTTGTCGGAATGTTACGTCTAGGTGATGGCGACACAGAATCATCATAGCGTCGCTTTGGTGATGGTGAGCCACCTCCGGTTCCCCCATTGCGTTCGTCCTCACTGTATCGATGGTAGGTGCTACCATTCTCTGTAGCGCCGCGTCCATTCTCTCGTGACTTACTATTGTAAGCGACATCTCGCGACTTGCGTGAACTTTTAGCTTGCGAAATCGAACGACTTCGGCTGCGAGATCGGCTTGCCGAAGCAGCAGTTCGTGAACGGGATCTATGAGTGCGTGAAGCACTGCGAGAACGACTGCGCGAATTGCTTCTGGAATTATAAAAGAATTACATTATTAGTTATAGATATGTAGGTAATATTTATATCATCTGAAATGCAATAAGACGTAACAAACATCGTCGCTGAAATACTAAAAGTCGTAACTAATAAAAAATGCAAAATTCAGTTTTTGATTAGTATGATGGATTATCGAATTACAACTCTCACACCATTTTATGAAAAAAATTTAAAAAAAATTTCTCACGACTTTTTCCATTTCAGTTACGATGTTGTTACGTCTTTTTGCATTTCAGTTGGCGATATGTATTTATGTAAATATCTACACATAGCTATGTATGTACATATCGTTGATGAAATGTAAAAAGGTCTAGAAGTCTATACTAAAACCCATGTTCCCTAAAAAATTTAGAACCGTAACTCATAAACTAGCGAACTTATGCCACTTTTCAAAAAGCCCTAACTGAACGAATGAAAATTTGTGAAAGCAAAAAGCCCTAAAGTAGCTGTTAAACGTGGCAAGTGCAAGTCCTGCTCAAAAGTCTGTCAAACTTAAAAATTTTCAAAAGAGATTGCAGGAGTAGTTACACCTTGCGCCTAAAGTCGCTTTCGAAAGCAGTTTTTATTTCTGCAAACCAAGCTTTCCGATACTACTTTTTGTCTGTTTACACGGTGAATGCAGACAAGTCCACTTTCAACTATGTTACCAGACATTTTTATGCTTATAACAAAATTAATGACCTGAAAGATTTACTAAACCTGCTAAAATGTGCACAAAACATTCGCATTTTCATAAGTTTATACGAATTCATCAAAAAACGTGTCACACGGCAACACTCGATTGGTTTCACAGCACTTGCAGCAAAAATGAAAATTGCTGGTGGAGCAGGAGCGAGTCGAAATTATTTCTCGAAAGCGATTTGCGTAATTTCAGTTGCAGTGATTTCTGCAAATCTGCAAAAAGGACTTTCTGGCTGTTTACACGGGAAAGTATACTTCCGATTTCGATTTTTGACAGCAAAATGCGTAGAAAAGCCGCTTGCATTGCCACGTTTAACCGCACCTTAACTGAAGTACTTTTGCTACAAAAAATTTAACAATGCAAACGAAACTTCAAAGAAAGTTGTATAAGTTTTTGGCGGTTTTGCGTTTGTAAATAATTCCGAGATTAGCTAAAATTCTTGACTACATTGAATAATAGTCTGTGGTCGTAAATTCGTGTTAAAAATATCAAATAAATAAATAAAAACCATAAAAGAGGTTGAATGGTAAGGAGCAGGGATGAAAAATGGAAATTTCTGATTGTACATAATATCACAAAATAAATGAACCTAAATGAGACAGATTGTACCTAAAAAAAAGTTACATCATTCATTTGTAGTTTTTTTTTATAAATTTTATTTAAAACATGAATACAAAAGATATATGTACTTTAAACATGATTACGTTTTTCAACTGAGCCTATATCTATAGACTATAGTCTAATGGGAATCGGAGAAGCATTGTTTTTGTCTAATTTTGAGTACTGAAAAATATTGGCGAAAAAGACAAAAAACACACTTTGCGAACTATACTTCTTTATCCAGGTTTTTATAAAACAACAGGAAGTCTGCTAATTTATCCGATTCCTTTTAATAGGTGCAGCAAATCTAGAGAATATAATCAATGTGCCATAAGTAACTTCGAAAGCATTTTAAATATATTTCCAGAAATCAAAAGCACGTATGGGTCAAAAGCTGTAGTTCTCATCTAAAAATTGGAAATTTGAAGACATCCTAGATACTGGACTGTATGGATGAATAAAGGCTGGTTTTCACAGTGTAATATTTTGACAACAAAATTTTTTGGCTTATTTTGACACAACTTTCTTTTTATCCCTACCTTTATCGATGATATTATGGGCCAAAAACTTACAAATAGCCGCCTTAGCAGCGCATGTACACGCCTGAAGGCCTGTTCTGATCTAAATCAAACCAAAGACCATTTTTTAGTCCCATTTGACAATGAAGGCCTATTCTGATCTAAATCAAACCATTCCAGTTTTTAGTCCCATTTCACTCATTTGACCGCAAATGCTACTGAATTTGACTTAGTGAAAATAAGCGTTAAAATTAAAAAAAAAAAAATACGAAGCTAAGTGTTAATTTTTCGTAGTGCCTGCTCTAAATGCAATGTAAAATGTTTAAGATAATACATAATATGTTTTTTTTATGTCTTCCTTTTGACCACTTTTCTCTAGAATTGTTTATTCTTCAAAATGAAAGCGAAACTTCTCCCGTACCTACAAGTAAATATATTAGCACGGTAAAGGAAAAAAACTAATAATGCATCTGATCAAAAGATGATTGTACCTAAAATCTAGTGACTGTACCTAATGTACCTTTTAGTCATCAAACGTCGGAAAAAGGTACAATTGTACCTACTTTTTCATCCCTGGTAAGGAGTATACTGGAATGCATGTCCAATGGTGATTTCATTTCTTCCAAAAAAATTTCGCCCTTCTCCGGTGCAAAATACATTTGATGTTACAGTCAACCTTGTAAAAGAGTATGTTTTTGCCTTCTTGTCCTAGTCTAGCTCACGCATTTCAATTATGTCGTCTTAAACAACTATCTGATTTCAGGGCAACCATCACTCCTGGCAAAGCGGCAAATTTTCTCACCCTTTGCCTTTATGTTAGAACTGAACACGAAAAGAGAAATTTCCCACGACAGCCGGTTCCACGTACCGGAAAGACTCGGCTTTTACCCAACCAAGGGCTGTTGTTTCGGCGATCTAACCCCGTCTTCGTCAGGCCAATCCCCGAAATCCTCGTATCAGGGATCTCAATTCGGAGATTCGGCAACTTGTGAACGTACATAAGCGGATGATGACCTGCAACTTCGTCTTTGGTGTGAGTAAGCTTTGGTCAACCGTGAGGTCATTGTCCAACCCGGCGAAACGTGACGACAGAGTTGGAATGGACTTTGGTGACCACGCTTCGTCGGACCCGGAGCGATGCACGAGCTATTTTAGCCAGCAGTTCAACTTACATCCTCCGGTGGATAAAGCCAAACGTCGAGTGAACAGAAGGCTGCGCAAAATGCCAAAACCCAGTGCGCCTCTTGTTTTTACCAGCGGTAAGGTAAGGGTAGCCATCGGGACGGCGAAAGCCTCCAAAGCCATTTCACCCGACGGTATGCATGTTGACGCTGAAAAATTTGGGTCCTGCGGGAGTAGCGTACCTAACGGAGGTCATCAACTTGTCTATGGCCACTCTCGTCATTCCAAACATCTGGAAGATGGGGAGAGTGGTCCACTGCTCAAACCGGGGAAACCAGCCAAACAGGAGAGTCTTATCGCCCGATAACCCTCCTTTTCAGGTAGCGAAAACACTAGGCGCCTTGGTACTCCCGTATTTCACGAGCCATCTGACCCCAGCGGAGCATCAGCATGGGTTACGTAAAGTGCATAGCATAACAACAGCACTTAACGCTATAAACACTCAGATAACTCGTGGTATTAACCGAAACCGCCCCTGTGAGAGAACTATTTTAGTAGCGTTGGACCTGTCCAAGGCGTTCGACACTGTCAGTCATTCAACGCTGCTAGAAGACATAGAGGCCTCCTGACTCCCACAGGGACTCAAACGGTGGTCGGCGAATAACATGAGTGGTCGACACTCATCAATAAGGAGCCTTGCCCTATCTCCTGCGAAATCCTCGGCAACCTTATTCACCACCTGGACGAAGGAGGTCAGACTGCAACAGGGTATTCACGTTGAAGGCGTAACAATACCGACGGTGAACAACCCGAAAATCCTCGGAGTTACCTTCGACAGTCTGCTCTCCTTCTCGGCACATACAACCGCAATTGTCAACAAAGTACAGAGCCGCAACAATGTCCTCAAGTCGCTGGCTGGCAGCACTTGTTGCAAAGATAAAAAAACGTTGGCAACATACAAGACAATTGGCCAGCCAGTTCTAAACTATGCAGCATCCGTGTGGTCGCCTGGGACTAGCAGGAGGCAGTGGATGAAGCTACAGACCTGCCAGAACACGGCACTGCGAACAGCGACCGGATGCCTCCTGATGACGCCCCAACACCACCTACACGACGAGGCCCAGATGCTCCCAGTCAAGGAGCATAACACAATGCCCTGCAAGCAGTTCCTTGTGGGGAGCCACAGACGTGGTCATCCTAGCAAACAGCTGCTTGCAGAAGAGCCCTCGCCAAGGCCCGTCAGGAGGCATCTCAACGAACTGACGGACGAAGTCCAGAGGTTTATTAAACAACCTCGGGACCCGTCCGCCTACCGACAGGCCCTGAACGGCATTCACAGGGAATCAGTCTCGAGTTATGTAGACTCCTGCCCTATGAATACCGTTCTAAGGCACACAACCACCGGACGTGGACGGGACAGAACTTTGCCTGCCTCGGGAGACCCGCACCACAATAGCCCAACTTCGCCTGGCTATTGCAACAGGCTAAACTCATACCTGAGCAGAATTAATGAGGATGTGCCCAACCAATGCCCGGCATGTGGAGAGTCGCCACATGACTCTCGTCACCTCTTCACATGCCCTGAGAACCCCACCCAGCTGACGCCACTGTCCCTATGGACAGACCCTGTTGAAGTCGCACACTTCCTGGGCCTCCCCTTAGCTGAAACGGACGGATGAACCGACCCGAGCAGGGCTTACTAGCCGCTATAACAACAAAAGAGAAAGGTGCAGTCAAAAGGCGACATATTTTTGTAGAAACGGAATCACCATAAGACAAAGGACGGGAATGCTTTCTGTCAAAGGCCATCGAGATTGTTAGGGGAATCATGTTCGTAAATGCCTTCTGTTTGATGGAAATGTTCGAAAATAAACTCTTAATTCATTCTGGGAGATGTCGTGGGACCATAAGAAGCACAACTCAATGCAACTACTAATAGTAGGGGAGCCCAAGAGGGGATTTGGGGATTTACTCAAGCTCGTCAGATGAACATATGGGGGATACCTTGCAGCCACTTGGGTACCTCTACCAAATATAAGCGATCTGTGTAG